GCGAGCATTTACAACTATGTATGAGCATTTACTATTACACTTTTTTACATAAATTAAATAAAAGGAAATTTTAAATGGTACCTTGATAATACATTGGCATTGAATGTAGATCCATCAACGATAAGCACATAAATAAAAGTTCCAACATCAAGTAGCCTAGTGCAGAAATGATTATTTTTGCAATTAAAACAAATGTCCCCTTTTGTATCCCATGGCATCCCTATATAAGCCAAATATATAATAAAATTACAAGCATTTTAGCAAACATTTTTACTTGATTTTAGTTTTTGTTATCGTTATTGGACATGTCCCTCAAAAGATATAATGGATCCTTTGATGATTCTTCTGGTGACAACTAAAGAACTGCAGAGCCACTTATCATTTGTAATAGGGCTGTAGAAGGAATGAAAATTTACTTAAAACATGTTACACTTGTAATTAATAGTAATAATAATAATAAAGTTTAATACCTTCCTGCAAAAAGTACAACAGGTATCAATACAGCTGCCTTGATCCAGCATGATTCCTTGTAGACTATCCAAGCCTAAGATTGCAAGTATATACACAACCACATATAACTCCATTTGATTCAACAAGCTTGTAACACCATGGTCAAGATCAGTTCCAAAATCCCCAGAAACACGCCACCTGAATAGAACTGGAAACCCATGCCACTGGCATCAATGGCAACTGATACGGGTTGATTAGCGACTGCCTGTAACAATGCGGAAGAAGCAAACCCAGTGTAATCACCTGAATTCAAATAAAAAAAAATGAGATAAAAAATGATTATTTTTTATTTTAAGTAGCAGCAGAAAATTAGTTTACCGTTTGTTTGTGCTGGAGAAGATGCGTTTTTTAATTTTTCAGCAGATGATTTGCCAGGCCATTGTTTAAGAGGGCGAATAACCAGAGCTCTTGGATTCTCCCTTGGAATAAAAAGAGCATCTGCTTTTGGTGTGCTGGTAGTCTCTTCATCATCACTAAAAAACGAAACCTGTAATTGTAAAAAAAATAAATCAGATCCATAAAAAAACAATAAGGGCAAAATAGTCAATATAACAACAGATATTACCTTTTGCCCATCGTTTTTCGGGTGATACTTTCTAGCACCCCACGAATTTTTTACCAACCAGTACTTCATGCCAAAGCTGTGTATATGATATATTCACCATCACCACAGACAACAACATACCTCCTATTTGGGTTGTGCTTCAAGCTATGTGGAAAAATAGAAAAGTCAAAGTCCATATGGTTGACTATTTTCAGTTTAAAGGAAGGTAGGAACAAGCATAACTCACTTGTGGATAAAGATCACATGTTCCCAGTTCTTTAACTTCTAAAGGCAGCCTCTCTCCATCAGAAACCTGAAAAAAATAGATTTTTTCCCATTTCATTGTTAACATAACATAACATGTATATGGGCTTTCAAGTCCAAACCTCATGATCAGCTCCCACACTCTTGATGTTAATAGTTTGAATTTCTTTATGTTTAGACCATATAATTTTTCCACTATTGTCCATGCTGGCTACAGGCTCTTCATGTCCAATTTTCACCATTATGGTTCCTTCTGTTGGATAAGGTGTCTAAGTCCATAACTATTTCTGGTATGTACTTGACCCGACCCGGCATGGTCCATTTGGGTTGCATGGCACCATGCAATTGGATAGACTAAATGAGAGAAATAACACTTGGAGATTATTAATATATTATAAGTTCTAATATATTAATAATATTATTTGATTAGTTTGATCAAGAATTAATTAATTATGTGATCAAAAGATAACTAATTAAATATATGGGTTGATTATGTAAATCATCCATATCTTGTATAGTGGGCTAAAAGGCTCCATGGACTATCAAGTTGGGTTCCACCCATAGGATGCTCCATGGATGCTCCATGGGAGTTACAAACCCATGGGTCATGGAAATGAAGAGTCATGACACATTAGGGTTTAACCCTAGATGTGTCAACACTATATAAGTAACATGTTCTCCACCTAAAATCGGCTACACTAAGAAACAAGAGGGCTTGGCCGATTTTGAGAAGTGTGTGTTCTCTCATAAGTTCTTCCAAGAGCATTTGGTGTTGTGTGAAGCATTTGAGGCATCACACTTGGGGTGCTAGGCTCACAAGGTTTCAAGGAACACAAACAACAACAAGGTAAGTTATTCTATCTATACTTTAAGTTAAAATTGTTCCCCATGTATGCTAGATAGGAATATAACCTTGGAATTCAACTTTGCATGATAATTAGACAAACATAGATCCAAGGTTATTAGGGTTGCATGTACACTTAGGAAGTGTTAGAATGCTCAAAACCCATCAGTGGTATCAGAGCCTAGGCTTGTTTGCTCTTATTTGTGCTTAAAAGTTGAAAAAGAATCGAAATCTTGCTGTCTGCGAATGGACTCGTCGAGTCTATAGGGGGGACTCGTCGAGTTCATGAGTATCTTCAACCAACTCGGCGAGTAGTTCATGCACTCGGCGAGTAGGGTCGACTGATTGCAGAATTTCGATTAGTTGCTGGAAATGAATTAGAAACATTACCCTAAACTGTTTTGGTAATTGAAAACTTGTTTTTGGTGGTGTAATGTCTTTGCTAATTCATTTACAACAACTAGTTATCAAAATTACAAAGTTTTAAATGTAATTTTTGATTGTGTTCATATTCATGTTCTTGTTCTTATGATGTTTTAGATGATCATAGGAATTATTTGTAACCTATGTGGTAGATTAATTCTTGATCATAATGTGTTTTAATGGAGTCCATAACTTGTCCTCAAGTTATGGAAAACCAAGAGTCACACTTGAATTAAAACCATTAAAAAAATACAAGAGTTAGAAAAATGAAGAGTCTTCATTTTATTACTCTATTAAACTCATAAGTTACAAGAAATGAAAAGTTTTGAAAGTTACAAAACTTGCCCTCAAGTTTTGGAACAAGTAAAGTTAAGTTAAAACTTTAAGTTCCAACCCCTAGAATTTTAAAAGTTAAAATTCAACCCTTATACTTATATTATGATGATATATATATATATATATATATATATATATATATATATATATATATATATGTATAAGAATAAAGTCGTCTTACCGCTAGTACGCCTCATTCACGAAGCCGGTCTATAAGGTGGGTATAAGGTTGTTGCCTATAAAATGGTGACTTAATGGGTGTCTACTCTCACCCACCGCTTGCTTGACTGGTGGAGGGTCGTTAGCCGAACGGGTAAGACAAGGACTTATAAATTCTCATTCAAAGTATGATGAATATATAAAGTAACTAAATGTTTTATTAAATTCCCAATCTTAGTTACTTTAGGAAAATGTGAATAAGGTGCTAATCCATGAAATTACACTTTACACTTTGTCTAAGTCGTTGGTGGAGCGTGTGTGGTTAACCGGCACACTAACTTGGACTTAACAAGGTAGGTAAAGGGTGACTTAAGGTTTATTATAGTATCGGTGGAGCGTGTGTGGTTTACCGGCACATCGATTGAGTGATAAACTTTAAGGGTACCAAGTGATTTGCATGGTTACTTCACACCTCGTTTTGTGATCCTCGGTATCCCAGTCACAAAACTTGGAGGGCACTCTCGAGATTGAAACATGCCTTTGAAAAGTTCATTGATCTCAAAGAATCTAGGAATTTCTAAAACCAATAAAACTAATATCTAATATTTCGGTTTTCGTGGTGGAAATTGGTGAATCGTCATTCACCTACCTTTCAAATATGGTATAGCTTAGATTACGGCATACCTCTTCTAAGTTATATTATATTGTGATTGGATCCTAGCCTTAATATTACATTTGGGTGTTTTATTAAGGACTCTCTTAAATCTATACTAAACTTGTTCTTCTCTTTCAGATGTCTTCAAATAATGCTTCTGGCTCGAATCCTAATGGCTCCTTTACTCTTATGAGTTTGTGTGGGAAAGTCACCTTTGATGGATCCAACTTCAATAAATGGATCAGAAACATCAGGATGATTACCCGCTACGAGGACAAAGAATATGTCCTTGACAAGGAGCTTAAGGAAATTGATGAGTCCACTGCAACTCCCAGGAGATCGCTGACTTTCATACTCATGAAAGAGATGCAACCAAGGTGGCTTGCATCATGTTGGCCACAATGACAGCTGAACTCCAAAAGTCTTATGAGATTTCTACCCTTATGAAATGCACCAAGATTTGATGGAAAGATACCATCAAAGTGCACGACAAGAGAGGTACGAAGTCATCTGCTCCATGATAACAACCATGATGAAGGACGGAGATTCCGTCACGAGCCACATGCAGAAAATGCAAAGGTATGTGGATCGTTTGCTGAAGCTTAATGTGAACTTCCCTGAGGAGCTTGCAATAGATATCATTTTGCACTCCTTACCATCGTGCTATGATCAATTCCGCATGACATATCACATGAACAAGGAAGAGGTCACCCTCAGCAAACTTCAGGGACTTCTCAAGACCGCAGAAACAGGTCTTAAGGGGAAGTCGGTTGCTATCACTCCTACTCCAAACTCAACTCCGGTCTTGGCAATCGGGAAAAGTCGAGGGAGGAAGAGAAAGAGATCTTCGAAGGGTACCAAGGCTCGGACCCTTGATGGCTCTTCTTCAAGTGGAACCAAGAAAGGTTTCATTACTCCTTCTTCTGACCCAAAAGAGGCTGAATGCTTCTATTGCCATGAAAAAGCTCATTGGAAGCGGAACTGCCCAAAGTACCAGCAGGATGTGAAGGATGGGAAAGTCAAACCCAACCATGCAGGTATTTACACTATCATTTCTAATAACTCACCCCATTCGAAATCTTGGGTCCTTGATACCGGTTGTGGTATTCATATTTGTTGTGACTTGCAGGGACTAGGAAGAAGTGAGAATGTGGAGCAAGGAAGAATAAACTTAATCATGGGGAATAGGAAAGTTCACCTGTCACCAAGATTGGAGTTTATACTTTATCGCTAAGTAGTGGGTTTATTTAGATTTGAATAATGTTGTTATTCGCCAGAAATGGCAAGAAATATTATTTCCTTTCATGCATTGTACAAACAAGGTTTCACCTTTTCGTTTGATAATGAAGTTGGTTCGATTAATGCTTTCTTTAATAATGTTCTTTATTTTAAAGCATTACCTTGTGATGGTGTGTATGAAGCTGTATCTGTTGTAGATAACTTAGGAAATAATGTTTTGTGTATTGATTCTACTAATAATAATAACTTGGATAAAGCATCATTATGGCATTGTCGTCTTGGACATATAAGCAAGAAACGCATAGGCCAACTCCAAAAGGATGGAGTCTTGGAGTCGTTTGACCTAAAGTCAAATGATAGTTGCGAATCATGCTTACTTGGAAAAATGACAAAGTCACCCTTCACAGGCTCGTGTGAAAGGGGTGAAGGTTTGTTGGACCTTATACACACGGATGTGTGTGGACCATTCAAACATGCCACAAGGGATGCTAATCGTTATTATTTGACTTTTACTGATGATTACAGTAGATATGGATATGTCTACTTAATCAAGCATAAGTCAGAGACTTTCGAGAAGTTTAAGGAATTTAAACAGGAAGTCGAGAATCAATTGGGCAGGAACATTAAGATGCTTCGATCCGATCGGGTGGTGAGTATCTTAGTTCAGAGTTCCTCGACTATCTAAGGGAATGTGGGATTGTCTCACAATTGACACCTCCCAGGACACCGCAGTTGAATGGTGTGGCTGAGAGGCGTAATCGAACCTTGTTGGACATGGTTCGTTCCATGATGAGTCGAGCTTCGCTACCAATCTCATTCTGGGGGTATGCCTTAGAGACTGCCGCCCATATCCTTAATCTAGTCCCTACAAAGAAAGTTGCCAAAACTCCTCACGAGATGTGGACTGGTAAAGTACCTAAACTAGACCACATCAAGATTTGGGGTTGCGAGGCTTTCGTGAGACGCGAGACTCATGATAAGCTCGAACCCCGAAGCGAGAGGTGTATTTTCATCGGCTACCCACAGCAATCCTTTGGTTACCTCTTCTACAGACCTAGTGACAATGTGGTCTTTGTAGCAAGAAGAGGAGTCTTTCGAGAAAGAGAGTTTATAAGCCAAGGAGACAGTGGGAGGCAAATTGATCTTGAAGAAATTCAAGAGTCAAGTGGTGAAGGAACTTCAAACTCTAGCCCTCAACTTGAGGAGGAAACTCCTGTTGAGCCAATTGACGAATCTGTACCTCTGAGGCGTTCCACGAGAGTTAGGAGTGCACCTGAGCATTACTATGGATTCCATATTACTGCAGAAGGTGAGACACTTATTAGTGATGGACACTAGTAAGTCAAGATGACCCTAACAGCTACGAGGAAGCCATGGCAGGCCCCGAGTCTGCTAAATGGAAAGAGGCTATGGATAGCGAGATACAATCCATGTATGACAATCAAGTTTGGAACTTGGTTGAGAATGTACCAGGTCGAAAGACTGTAGGGTGCAAATGGGTCTTCAAGAAGAAGACCGACATGGATGGTAAAGTACACACTTATAAGGCTAGACTGGTTGCAAAGGGCTTCTCTCAAATTCCTGGAGTGGATTATGATGAGACCTTTTCTCCGGTAGCCAAGATTAAGTCTATTCGGGTTCTGTTAGCCATAGCCGCATTTCATGACTATGAAATTTGGCAAATGGATGTCAAAACCGCTTTCCTTAATGGAAAGTTGGCTGAAGATGTTTACATGAGTCAGCCAGAGGGTTTTGTCAGCAACGAGTACCCTAATAGAGTGTGTAAGCTTGAGAAATCCATTTATGGATTAAAGCAAGCACCTCGCAGATGGAATCTTTGCTTTGATGAAAAGGTCAAGGAATTTGGCTTTTCTAGGAGTGAAGATGAATCTTGTGTATATGTCAAGGCTAGTGGGAGTATAGTTAGCTTTTTGGTATTGTATGTGGATGACATACTACTCATAGGAAACGACATTCCAACCCTGCAGGAAGTAAAGTCCTGGCTTGGAAAGTGTTTCGCTATGAAGGACCTTGGTGAAGCTGCCTATATTTTGGGGATAAGGATCTTGAGAGATCGGAGTAAAAGACTAATTGGACTTAGTCAAAGTACCTACTTGGATAAGGTGCTGAAGAGATTCAGAATGCAAGACTCCAAGAAAGGAGAGTTGCCCATCCAGAGTAACGCCAAACTGAGTAAGACACAAAGCCCTAGCACTGAGGCTGAGATAGCACAAATGAGTCGAGTACCTTATGCTTCGGCTGTAGGATCGATCATGTATGCTATGACGTGTACTCGACCTGATGTAGCTTTTGCCCTGAGCATGGTTAGCAGGTTTCAGGGGAACCCTGGCAAGGCACACTGGACTGCGGTAAAGAATATTCTCAAGTACCTACGAAGGACTAAGGACTGGGTCCTTACCCTCGGTGGGAGTGATGACTTGAGAGTTGTAGGGTATAGTGATGCTAGCTTCCAGACTGATAGGGATAACTTCCGCTCTCAGTCGGGCTGGGTCTTTACCCTAAATGGAGGAGCAATTTCTTGGAAGAGTTCCAAGCAAGAGACAGTGGCAGATTCTACTTGTGAATCAGAGTATATTGCAGCTAGCGAGGCGGCAAAGGAGGCGTTATGGCTGAGGAACTTCATTGGAGACCTTGGAGTTGTACCAGCTATTAAAGAGCCAATGGAAATTTTCTGTGATAGTGAAAGTGCTGTTGCCTTAGCCAAGGAACCAAGGGATCACGGGAGATCCAGACACATCGACAGAAAATACCATTTCATCAGACATCGGATCGAAGAAGGACTCCTCGTGGCAAAGAGGGTATCATCAGATGAGAATCCGGCAGATCCCCTCACGAAGGGACTGACTCGGGTTAAGCATCTCCAGCATGCTCGGAGCATAGGGCTGAAGGATGATATTAGATTTAGTAGTTAGATAACCTCGAAATTTGTAAAGTGTAATTGACATTGATGATGAATAAAAGTGTTTTATTTATGAGTAAAGTGTTGCTATCTCTTGTCGATCGTTTACTATATTTCTTTTGCATGTTTTGACTTCCAGAATAATTTTGTTTGGTATAACATATTATTCAAACCTCCACAGTCGGTCATATGTCGGAAGTAGTATGAATCAAGACTGTCATGTTTGGTTGTAGAGGTCTTGGACAAGGCTACAACAATCATGAGTGCTCATAAGTTCTGAGCATTGGACTCAACCCACGCTCACTGGAATCACTTCATGGAATTCTATCTCGAGTGATCGTGAGACGGTAATATCATATAAGTCTTTAAACCTAGAGATATGATTTGTTACTTACAAGTTGGTTATGCATTGATTGTACGAAAAACGCATTGGTAACTCGATGTTATAAATCGCGCTCTTGTGTGTAATTCAATGAGTGGTAGAACAAACATATGAGTCGAAGTTTATCTGTTCCTTCTTGGATTAGAAGCTGATATCTGGGCCCCTCGATGATTTTGTTTTGACCTATGTACCGGGCCCGGTCAGAACTAAATTGATGTGTTCAATGAAGTTCTTTGTCAAACAAATCGGAAATCGGGAAACAAACTGTTGGACAATAAGTAAGACATTGTTCCGTGTATTTGTCCGACTGATATCTAGAACAGAGGATTATATGATCACTTATCTTAAATGGCGTACCATCATCTTCTCAGTTCGAGAAACCTTGTAAAGAGCTACGATTGCCGATCGGTTCCTGAAGTCATACTTGCAGTAATAGTTATTAGACTTATCCAAGTGGGAGACTGTTGGATAAGGTGTCTAAGTCCATAACTATTTCTGGTATGTACTTGACCCGACCCGGCATGGTCCATTTGGGTTGCATGGCACCATGCAATTGGATAGACTAAATGAGAGAAATAACACTTGGAGATTATTAATATATTATAAGTTCTAATATATTAATAATATTATTTGATTAGTTTGATCAAGAATTAATTTAGAATTAATTATGTGATCAAAAGATAACTAATTAAATATATGGGTTGATTATGTAAATCATCCATATCTTGTATAGTGGGCTAAAAGGCTCCATGGACTATCAAGTTGGGTTCCACCCATAGGATGCTCCATGGATGCTCCATGGGAGTTACAAACCCATGGGTCATGGAAATGAAGAGTCATGACACATTAGGGTTTAACCCTAGATGTGTCAACACTATATAAGTAACATGTTCTCCACCTAAAAACGGCTACACTAAGAAACAAGAGGGCTTGGCCGATTTTGAGAAGTGTGTGTTCTCTCATAAGTTCTTCCAAGAGCATTTGGTGTTGTGTGAAGCATTTGAGGCATCACACTTGGGGTGTTAGGCTCACAAGGTTTCAAGGAACACAAACAACAACAAGGTAAGTTATTCTATCTATACTTTAAGTTAAAATTGTTCCCCATGTATGCTAGATAGGAATATAACCTTGGAATTCAACTTTGCATGATAATTAGACAAACATAGATCCAAGGTTATTAGGGTTGCATGTACACTTAGGAAGTGTTAGAATGCTCAAAACCCATCACCTTCATCATAGCCAATAACAATCCTATAAAAACAGTAATTAAAATAAATCCAGATGAATGAAGAAGCATCAAGATTCAAGACCTAGAAAACAAAAAACAAAAAGTGATATACAAACTTACCGACGTGAACCTTTCATGTATCCAACAGCCCAAACCCTTTCAAGTCCATAGTTCAAGGTGTTCTCAAGTCTGAATAAAAAAAGAGTGGCATAAAGTCAAAAAGTTTACATTTTTAACATATGTATAACGAGGGTATTTTGGTCTTTTGATAGGAAATGAAGAAAGAAATTGAATTACTTCCATCCATCAAACATGGAATTTGAAGGAATCCAACAAAAATTAAATTCCATCCATTTGGAAACCAAACACACCATGGAATGGAATCTAGCATTCCGATTCTTTTAGAATCTAAAAAACAAACACACCCTTAAAGGTAAAAAACAAGAGCTCACCTGTAAGTGGTTGAATGCCATATACGGACAGTACCATCTTCTGAACCTGTCATTATTATTGGAAGCTCGGGATGGAAACATACAGCAGAAACATTGTGTGTGTGACCTTCTAGAGTTTGGACACAGGTTTTAGTTAGCAACTCTACAGTAACAGATCACAGTTGTGACCGTATTGCTGGATTCTCATATTGAGATAGTAAAGGGAATCAAATCAGTTTAGAAATTGTAAGTAAATGAGATTCAATTCCTATTACATAAATTAAATTCCAACTCCTAAACACTAAATTGATTTTTTTATCATTATAAAAACACAATTGGCTGATTACTACTCATGTGTATGTATAATAATAGTAAATTGAATCTAATAGGAATACATAAATTTTTATTTATCTGTGAGGTTGTCACTGTGGCAGGTTGCTTTGAACCTTGTTCATTAATCTTTGGACAATCCCCTTTTGGTTCAAACATTTAGTCAAACACCTAGTGTGCATAAAAAAAATCAGGTACTTATATCATAAAATATTAACAATTCCATGAAAATATATGAGAGAGGGTAAAAAGGCACAAAAAATAGTCCAAAAAGAAGGACCAGTAGGACATGAAACAGGTAACTATGGTTGAAAAAGGAAGAATTACCTTTGAAATAGGCCTACTACGCAGATGAAATACGCAACAGTGGTGGTATAGTGGTGGTTCTAGGCTGTTGCGAAGGCAGTGTGGTGGTGGCTCAGGTTTGGTGTTGTGGTGCGATGTTGTAACGGTGGAGTCTGAAAGCAAACACAAATTGTGATGGAAGCTATTGTTGTTGGTGATGTCCGATTCATCAAAAGAAAATCATTCTTCGATCAATCTTCTATTTTGTGAAAGAAGATATTACTATTTCAAATGTGTTATGTTTGATTAGGGTTTGCACATAGAAGGAAGTGAAAGTCGATCGGAGAGGAAGGGGTTTGTAGAGAGAAAGAAGGGAGAGAATGAAGTCGATTTTGGCGGGTGTAGAGAGTAGAGAGGAAGAGGAAGCGGGTGTTCAAAATTTTGGGGGATTTAGTTTCCCCCCTTACCTATCAAGGAGTCCCAGAAACGCGCGTTTATTAAAATTATAAAGCGACATTTGTAGAGGACGCCCGTTTTATTATAGGTGCCCTCCGTGTTTTTAATATTTTTACATGAGACACTAATTTAAGGGCACTCAGTAATGCGCGACCTAAATCCTTAAAATTTTTGAAGAGATGACACTTTTTTAATGTCGCTCTCTAATGCGTAACATAAATCAAAGAGCGTCGTGTTTTGCGCGTCGTAAAAGGCCTTTTTTCTAGTAGTGACACTTCATTGCTTGAGTTGATTCATTCTGATATATGTGAGTTAAATGGAATCCTTACTCGAGGAGGAAAAAGGTATTTCATCACATTTTGTGATGACTTCAGTAGATATCTACATGTTTATTTTCTGAGATCAAAAGATGAAGCTTTTGATGCATTTCAATGAGATAAGGTTGAGCTCGAAAATCAACTTGAAAGACACATCAAAATTCTTCGCTCGGATAGAGGCGGAGAATACTTCAACCAAGAGTTTGACACATTCTGCGAAGAGAATGGAATCAAACATGAGAGAACATCACCATACACTCCCCAACAGAACAGTTTGGCTGAAAGAAAGAACCGAACCCTTTGTGAGATGGTCAACTATATGTTGAACCAATCGGGTCAACCAAACAATCTGTGGGGGAAGCACTATTGACTGCTTGTTATGTTTACAATAGGATCACTAGTCATGTGATTCCTACAAGACCTTATGAGTTGTGGAAAGGTAGAAAACCTAACCTAGACTATTTGAAAGTGTGGGGGTGTATTGCTTATTATTGAACTCCCGATCCTAAGCGAACCAAATTGGGAGCACGAGCTAATAAGAGTATATTTATTGGATATGCTCAAAATAGCAAGGCTTACTGGTTACTTGATACTGATTCAGGTGTTGTTGTGGAATCCAGAGATGTGGAATTCTTTAAGGACAAGTTTTCTAAGGATGAAGAAAACTCTATTCATACAACACCTACAAGTACCTCTCGAGAAATACTCCCACCTCCTCCCATTGTGGAGGAACCAAGGAGAAGTACTAGGGCTAGAATTGAGAAAACCTTTGGAGATGATTTCTATTCTTATTTGGTCGAAAGAACACAAAAGAAAGTGATGAGAGAGGTCATTCTTTCAATTAATTTGGATGATGATCCTAAGACCTTCACTGAAGCCATGACGTCTCGGGATGCTCCTCTGTGGAAGGAAGCAATCAATGACGAAATGGATTCAATTATGGGTAATGGAACTTAGGAGTTAGCTGATCTACCTAAGGGGAGAAGACCCATAGGATCCAAATGGATATTCAAGAAGAAATATCATCCTGATGGATCCATATCTGCCTATAAAGCAAGGTTGGTTGCAAAGGGCTATAGTCAGCGAGAAGGGATCGATTATTTTGATACCTATGCCCCAGTTGCTAGAATTAGTTCAATTAGAATTCTCATAGAAATATTAGCTTTGAAAGGATTGTACATTCATCAAATGGATGTGAAGACAGCCTTTCTGAATGGTTATCTCAAATAGGAGATTTACCTGGAACAACCTGAAGGTTTCGTAATACATGGACAAGAAAACAAAGTGTGTGGACTTGTTAAGTCTTTGTATGGATTGAAGCAAGCTCCCAAATAGTGGCATGAGAGATTTGATACCACTGACAACATTTGGTTTTTAGCACACAACAGTGCTGACAGGTGTATTTATTCTAAATATACACCCACTTATATAGTAGTTATATGTCTTTATGTTGATGCTATGCTGATCATTGGCACTCATCTAGAAGGTATTCTTGAGACGAAGAAATACCTATCCTCGAACTTTAAGATGAAAGATCTTGGAGAAGTAGATACTATTCTTGGTATCAAGGTGAAGAGGACAGGTGGTCAGATTTCTCTGAGTCAATCTCATTACATAGAGAAAATTCTGACAAAGTTTCAACTTTTGAACATTAAGGAATTCAATACTCCTTTTGATTCAAGTGTAAAACTGAAGGTGAATTCTGGTCGAGCAGTGGCTCAACTGGAATATGCTAGTGCAGTAGGAAGTATGATGTATGCTACTCACTGCACGCGACCTGACATTGGATTCGTTGTAAGTAAATTGAGTCTGTACACGCTTAATCTAGGGACAGAGCACTGGAAGGCAGTGGGTAGAGTACTAGGATACCTGAAAAGGACAAGTACTTTTGAGTTGACATATTCGTCATCTAATGGAATACTTGAAGGTTATTCTGATGCCAGTTGGATTGATCACACTAGTGATTCAAAATCAACAAGTGGTTGGATTTATACGCTAGCTGGTGGTGCTATTTCTTGGGCGAGCAAGAAACAGACATGCATAGCTCATTCAACGATGGAAGCGGAGCTAATTGCCTTAGCAGCAGCTAGCAAAGAGGTAGAGTGGATTCGAGATCTACTTATGGATATCCGTTTGTGGGATGTTCCAATGCCTTCAATACCCATGTACTGTGACAGTGAGGCCACACTGTCTAAAGTATATAATGCGGTATATAATGGGAAGTCAAGACATGTAGGTCTGCGACACAATTTTGTGAGACAACTAATTGAAAGTGGTACCATCAAGGTTGTCCATGTCAAGACAAGTAAGAACTTGGCAGATCCGTTTACCAAACCTCTGACGAGAGATTTGGTTACATCTACCACTAGAGTCATGGGTCTAAAACCACAATAGAATCGTTTAGTGATGGAAACCCAACTTGACATTAGTGCTCCTAATTTTCATGTTTAACGGGTAACAACGAAATCACTAACGATAGAAGGTACTATCATTCATGATAGATCCATGTGAGGTAGGATAGTACGTCGTTGCTGAGAACGAGGTTGAATTACGACTCTTAACATAGTTTTGGAGACATCTAAGCAATGAAGATGCTATAAAACTTTGCCTATATGATCTAGAGGTGGTGCCGCCTCAAGTGAAGATTAATGGTTTATCTTCTAGAGGGTCATGAAAAGGATTTATAGCGCATGGCCTTAATAGCGCTCAGGGAGAACACAAATATGACTTGTGATGTGTGGGGGTAAACCGAAGAGGTCATTTAGGTTCATGGTTTAAACCTATAAGGATACCATTGAATCGGTCTCTTCTTGTTTGTTCTCATTAAACTAGGGTTTAATCTTCATGACACCCAAGTGACATCATCTGTCTGAGTAAAAGGAAACTTACCAACTTGGTGGGGGATTGTTGGAACTTTATATATAAAGGAATTGCAAGTTGGCAATTTCCTTTGTATCCCACATTGGTGGGGGGAAGAAACTTTTGTGGGTTTATAAGCCTATTCCCTTGGTAAGCCTTCAAAGGCTTTAGTGGATCAAAGGAAAAGGCCAAGCCCACGCGCGCGCCTAGCCTAGCAATAGCCGACGCCGCGAGTGCGCGAAATGGCGCGATTTAGGCACACTTTGCACTTCGCACGACGCATCGGTCGCTGGGAGCTGAGGAGCTTTTAATTTTGACGAGTTCGGGTCAAGCCGGTTTGACCGATCCGGTCAAATGGTTCGTGGAGGCCAAGTCAGGGTATTCTAGAAGGATCAACACGACGCATCGGTCAGTGGGAGCTGAGGAGTTTTTATTTTTGATGAGTTCGTGAAGGCCAAGTCAGGGTATCCTAGAAGGATCACCACCACCACGCTCTGATCCCCTTCAAACACCTCACTTTTCGCCATCAAATTACATAAACATGTCTAGATTCGAATTATTTCAAAGGTAATCACCGGTGGTAAAATTGTTGTTTAACACAATCAGCTGCACCACAGATAGTAAGAACCTGCACCAAATAAAACAGTGAAACAGGATTCGACCTCAGTTGAAAAAAATAAAAAAAGCCGCAAGAAGATGATGAATTAGTGACCTTGTCAATGAGTTATGGTTGTGGCGGTTGAGACCTTGTCGATGAGTTATGGTTGTGGCGGTTGAGACCGGTGCTGTCGACGCCATTGATTTTTCTCCGAAGGATCGAGAACTAAAAGTGCTAACTGTAACTGTAAGGCGATGCATTTATAGCGGTTAAAAATAAAATACTGGTCAAGCATTGGATATACATGTTATCCCAGTGGGATATCTGTATTTTTATGTTATGTAGGCCTTTGTAACCTTGTGTTTTATTAGATGAATACATGGTCAATAAGTAAAACATATAGTAAATTAGAAAATGTTTGAAGCAAATGTTTATCAATCTCATAAAACCCCAATCATATATCTAC